GCATGGAACGTATAGATCAAGTCAACATATTTTTTCGACGTGTTCTTGATGCGTGTCGCATGATGATACACAAGAACATCATTTAATATTGCCACATGTTATCACAAACTAGGAGTCGGAACTCATTTGAGACCACAATACAAAATCCTCTCCAATGAGTTGAAAAAGCTTTGAATACATTTCCAAAAGATCATATAGGAGTGACAGCTACGCATAAATAGATTAATAGAAGAAATACTGATGCACTCTCATTTATCAACATACGGCTATGTCTGTTTGATTTCAATGTCCTCCTTCCATCCATTCTGGTCTTGCTTAATAGCATATAGATATTGATGCTATTCATTTCGATATGGATAAATATTTACTTGCAATCGATCATGATCAAACAGCTTTGCTAAGTGAATTAAAAATCATACTACCTAATTACCTGTCTATCTCGACTTCTTATGATTATCTAGTTACCACATGTGACCGTGTAGAAGACACAGAAGAAACCAAAAAAATATTTTCTCATAGTTCAGTTTATTAATGGAAATAATACGTTGTTTACGCGACAGAATCTTCATCGAACTATTTTCTATTACTATTGAACATGTAAACATCATGTGTGTATCTATCAAATCTTTTAGATTGTCGATGGAGCATCTAGCTTTAGTCGTATTTAAAGAGTTGTTATATTTAGCTCTTGGAAATAATAGGTCTGTTGTCATTGTCGATGTCAAGAAGATTTGTCATACGGGAGTGTGTGGCATAGATATATTTGTGTGGATTAGGGAGAAGTAAAGAGCTATACTTGCGCCCCATAAACCCATCATTGTTCGATTTGATATTCTTTTTTTTACTATAATACCTTTTTATCTTTATTTTTTGCACTTCAAGTGTAAATAATATCTTCTGTATTTTCTAAACATTTTTCTTTCTTATTTTGTGATCGATTATATTTATAGAACATCGATAAATACCAATCTATTGTATATTTTCTCATTGAATAAAACAAAATAGTAGTGCGTATTTGATAGAATATCTTTAGTTGAATATAGGCATTAACGTTGTGTTATGCAATTGTTGTATGCAACGAAAAGAAAAGACGCACATTCATATATGATTAATCGTTCTATGAAGTCATTAGTAAAGAAAAAAAACGTGAGAAAACCTAATAATTGATATACATATAGTATGACTAGTAACAATATCGTGTGAATATACTATTATATTCTAAATGGTTGAGTTGAGGATGTTCAAATCTAGTAGAATAAATCATGGAATATTCCAAATTAATGCATTAGCTAATCCGTGAGTATTGATTTTTTTTCCTTTCGAAGAGGGTAAAACTATTGATTTATTATAACTCAGGATTCATTCAACACGCAAAGCAGGTAACTACGAAAACCAGTTGCATGTTTTGTCTATTTATAATTTTTAGTAAAACTATCTGGTCGAAAACGTCTTATTACTAAAGACGGAAACATTAATTTTCAAAGGTAAATATTAAATATTTGAATTTTTTTATAAAATCAAAATATATGTAAATTATAGAATAAATATCCATGATCGTCATCGGTATTTGAAAGACATATTCACCACAGTATTAGATTTACCATGGATATGGGTTTTAGTTTGGTTTGTTTTTTGTTTTGTACTCTCATGGCTTTTATTTGCTGTTATTTGGTATATTATAATGACAATTCATGGTGACTTCTCTCATCATTCAGTGAATACAAGTGAAAATACAGTCACACCTTGTGTAGCTGGTGTTAAATCATTCAGTGGAGCTCTTCTCTATTCAATCGAAACTCAACAAACAATTGGTTATGGAACACGAGCTGTAACTGAACAATGTACAGGTGGAATTATTATTGTAATAATTCAAAGTTGTTTTGGTCTTGTAATTCAAGCACTTTGGGTCGGTCTTGTTTATACAAAATTATCTCGTCCGAAAAAACGTCGTCGAACATTAATATGGTCGCAACACGCTGTTATTTCACTTCGAGATGGATTATTAACATTACAAATTCGTTTAGGTGATATGCGTCATCGATCAACATTAGTTGAAGCTCATACAAGAATGTATTTTGTTTCAAAACGTCAAACAAAAGAAAATGAAACAATACCTCTTAATTTACTCGATATGGATGTTGGTTATGATGCTGGAAAAGATCGTTTATTCCTTAATTGGCCACTTATTATTGAACATAAAATTGATTCACGAAGTCCATTATATGAAATGAATAGAGAACAAATTTTGAAAGAAAAATTTGAAATTTTACTTGTTCTTGAAGGAATAATAGAACCAACTGGAATGGTTACACAAGCTAAAACTTCTTATATGCCTGAAGAAATAATTTGGGGAGCTAGATTTGAAAGAATGATCCATTTTGATAAAGACCATTATATTGTTGATTATTCTAAATTTAATTCTACAACTGAAGATAACTGTACACCTGATTCCTCAGCGAAACAACTTTATGAACAAATGAATAATAATTGACTTGTTAAAAAAAAACTTCATGTTATTAATTTTCACTTCTTCAATACTGTTCACTAGTTTTTTTATTGTTTGAATTAGTAGAAAACAGAAACAAAAATTTGAAAATAATTTCAGTTGTTTATGTGAAAACAAAATTTATTTTGGCCTTTTTCTCTTTTTGATTTAAAGTTTTATTTTTCAAAGAGAATTGAAGGCTAAACAATTTAACATTGTTTCATTATCGAAGAAACAAGACTAAAAAAGATGTCTCTTCGGTTCCGATCTTATACCCAGTCTCGTAACTGCAGAATAACGAATAGTTATTTACAAAAATATATATATTAGAATACTAAAGAGTATTGGAAACGCTGAAGGCGTAAACTTCTCGAAATTCATGAAGCTGTTGTTCGACAAAACATTAGAGGAGCCCTGTTTTTCATAGTGAGTAATTTAAGATTTTTAGAAAAGTGATCAGCTTTACAAGAGTATTCATTTCTAAGGCCGGTCTCAACCCTGATACCGTGGAATTTCCATAAGTTAGTCCTGTTTTGGCCATCGGATACTGAGAAAGAAGCTAGTTCCGCACATCTCTACTTCTTATTTATGCTTGAAAATAGTTCTCATATACATAAAGATCAACGCTGCGATTACGAGCTGTAATAGCTTGTTCAAAATTAGCATGAATTAGTTGCATGAATCTTTCTGTAGCCTTAAGAGAAAAGACTCTGCCCGATAAAGTGATAAATCTGGCACTCCCACTCGTCTAACCAAAATGTCAACCAGAAGAAAGTCAATTAGGATGTGGCATGTCTAGTTGCTTGGATGTAGTTTAAGAAAAAAAACACATCAACCCCTTCAATAACACCCTTCTATCATAGCTACAAAATATTCTTTGTGATGATTCTATTGGATTAAACATTTATTATAGTAATCAACGAATGAAATATAAAGTATTGTTTTAGCTGTTGAATACAAAAAAGACACATAAATAATCTTCACTTTTATATAATGATTTGAGAGATAAGTAGATTTAGCAGCAAATTCAAGTCTTTTTTCGCCTAATATGGGTCACGAAATGTATGATATGGTCTACAAAAATGAAGCATAAAAAATTATGTTCGTACTTTTACACTTTCCTTTTCACCACAATCATGAAAGATTGGAAAAACTAGGACGAAAAGAGTTTATACTCACCTGTAGCACACAAAAATAAAGAAAAATTTGCAAAAAACTGTATATTATCACTGACTCATGGTTGACTGTTTTCAACATACATTATTAAAGGAATGTTTACTTGGAGAATAGCTTGAAGACTCTAGTCGACCGTTCATTTTTACCGTGATATTTGTGCTCTAGTTGTGTCTTGAATAGCATTTTGATCATGAACATATGTAAAGTGAATATATATTTCGGTTTAATTTATAACACAATCGAAATAGAGAAATGTTGACACAAACTGACCTTATTTATCAACTTCTAGTTTTTTTTATACGATAGACCCATGGGAAAAAATTTAACAGCAAATAAATTTATGTTCAGTTTCGTTGTATAGAAGCAAGAGAAAAAAACCAAGAATTATGTTCCCATCTTGAAAATATTTGTCCGCTTCGTTAAACATCCAAATAAAATTGATGTCTACATTACCTCAAACTTCCTGTCCATCTTAGTTTTAATGGTTTCTAAAATATCATTTTGGTTTATACCATAGAGAGTTTCTAGTTTTTGTCAAAGATCTTTTTAGATCTGTCAAATGTAATTAATCCGTGATATTTAGCGAGTCGATCAAATACTTTCAGTCAAAATTTTATGAATCGTCGACCTATAAAGAGCAGATTGATTTTAATCAAGTTGCTCACAACAACAAATACATAAAGCCAATAAATTTTTAGATACGTTCATTAAACAAATTAACTTTTAAAATAATAGCACGATGTAATTCCCAATTAGAACTACAAGAAATCATCTAATCTTGCCAAAAAAATTGTTATATAGAGAACTGATCAAAAAAAAAGTTTTCTTGATTGATGTCGGGAAAACTTAGAAACTGTCTTAGTATATAAAAGTGGTTTCAAATGTAGAATACTCAATAGATATTTGATATAGTAAATGCTTTAGAAAATTGTAACAGTTTTTGAGAAATGAGAAACTCATTAGACGTGCGAACATGTTTTTATAGGAAGCTGTTTTAAAAATGCTCAGTTTTAGAAAGTCACTGTTTATCTTTGAGAATTTTTTTAAAGACTTTGGAGATCAGGATGTGAATGTGGGTGTTGCTGCAGCTGTCGTTGTGTATGTGAGTATATGTGAGTGTTGGTGAAGATGTTATTTTAGGTGAAAAACTAAACTTCGACTTTTCTCGTTTCATAGAATGATTACTTATATTTAGTTTATAAAATAATCATTGATGAAAAAGTTATTTTGTCTCCGACAAAGATCACGACTTGTTTTGTTTGGATCCATGATAAACATCTTTAATATGCAAACTAGCATTAGTAATAAATTAAGTCGTGAATAAGAAAATACAATTTCATCACGAAGGAATCTTTTTAACCACTTCGAGCGTGAGCCGAAGCCATGTAACCTCTCCACTTATATTTTTATCGAAATAATGATATGCATTATCAGCTTGTTTCCAGTCGCTTTGACAAAACTGGGGTGGTTTACCCTCTCCATCCCGTTTCATACCCTCAAATCTCCACCAGCAATTGTTGAAGCCACAGGTTGTTGGTTGAACATATTGTTTGCATATAGGACATACAGTTTTGGCAATATCTTTATCGCATACAACATCGAATGTTCGGTAACCCATTGATATAGCGACGATGTCGTTTTTTGCTTTGCACGTCGAATTCGTACATTTACCCTCAAAAACCAAACCGCCACGCACTCTTCGCCATTCTGGAGCCGTTTTAGCCCATTCACATCGTTTTAATCCTTCATTATTGCTGACATTGACAAATTTCGTTCCACAACCACCTAGGATACCTGGATCACGAAAACTATCTTCACTAGATTCAGCGAGTTCTAGTCGAGATTTCTCTTCTACACCATAAGACATCAATGTTTCCTCATCAATGTTGAGTATATCACCGTCGAAAATGAAATACACATGTTGTGAATCTTTCTCATTAATATTAACTTTTTCACAAATCAGTTGTTTTAGCTGTTTAATTGTAGTAGTAGATAGCTCGACGTCAAACTGGAAGATTTGTTCTTTTCCAATATATGTTTTGATATATATCTTCATGGTAACACTATAAAAAGACAACAACATAGAATTATTGAAATAACTTCTTTGTAAGACTAAAGAATTTCTGCTTTCTTATGCTGCGGCAGGTCGCTCAGCAACTATGCACGTATGTTTTCTGTTAAAACTGCAGAGAAAAATCGTTTGACAATCCTGAATACTCTTTTCAAATAACAAAAAAAATCATATCAAACACACCTAATAAAAAAATTGTTGATATACATTTCAAACTTCTTGTTTCAGAAAACATACGATGAATCGTCGTCGTTTATCATAGCTATCATAAATGATAAATGAAGAAATAGCTTTTTTTAATGATTTTCCGAATTTGCGACCCTTTTGATTTTTTTTTTTGAGCTTCATTTATATTATAACTCGCATTAGGTAATTACTCTGCTAAATGCATGCCAATTTATTACGACCGCAATTATAATACTTACATTGTTTGAATGTTATGGTACGTTCTAATTCATCAACTTTATCAGCATTCGATTAATCATAACCACTTCATTTTATGGTGATCAGATAAACGCAATACTTCGACAACATCAGTTTATTCTCTAACTAAACGCGAACAACTATTCTAATAAAGACTAGATAAAATGAATTTCAATCTTCGACATTTTACGGTGTCACTTATGCTGTTCATTCCTCTATATAATATGAGCTTGAACTCATGTCAGAAATATTTCTTCTTGACATTTGCAGCTAATATTTAACAACATCCAGATTTTCATTCTATTTCCGCTCTATATGATAATCCAAGTGTACATCAAATTCAAATCATAAGGATAACTTACACAAACGTTTTCTACGTAATCAGTGTTCAATACTCTAAATGCACCATCTATTAGTCTACATGTTAGGGTAAAGAAACGTTATTATCTCAGTTTTCGATATACACAAGCTGTTTCGTGAACAGAATTCTTAAAGCATTGCAAATTAAACCAAAATTTGTATGCTGTAAGTAATTAAGAGTACGATATTTGTCCATGAATTCTCATTTCTGCGTACCTACCTATTGAAACCCTTATGCGCTTGGTTGAAATACTAATGAAGAAAAAAACTTGATATGATTTACAGTCACTCGCTGCATACTACTCACTGCAGAAAATGTTCTATGTCGACTTTATTTATTTTCTTCCTATGTTTTTTTCTTCTTGATGTTGTGAAATCACATGACGAATGTCTTATCGCCGTCACCAACACAAAAATGCAAAAAAACAAAAGTTGCAACTGGTAAATATAAAGTCCAACATTGGGAAATAAAGTCAATGTCAGGGCTTACTGAGCTTGTCTTTGGAGCAGATCATACCTAAGTAATTATATGCACGGTTGATTGATGAGTGCCACCTCATCTACAGAAATGAAAACTTCTTGCATTGATGATTTTTAATTTCAATAGCAGAGTTTGAATGGATGGGTAGGTTGGTGGATGGATCCATCAAGGGAAACTTCACATGTAACCTTTCATCCCGCTTACACAACCATCCACACCCTTGAAGATTTAGCATATCATAGATCTGAATGTAATTGTTCGCCAAATAGATTTGGCCTACAACCTTGTCCAACCGACGTCATTTAGACGCCGAATTAAATTTGAAAAATCCTATGGAATGGTAATATATCTTTCCAAAAGGGATCAATTAAAATCTTTAAAAGGTTCCCCAACACTACAATAGAATACGTGGAACACCACGTAACCTTTGAAAAACAGAAAAGATTCATATCAACTGACGTCTAAGTGCTCTTTTGTTGAAGTCTAGTGGATGCTGACTTGCACTATCGAATAAGAGCACACTCATCATGATCTGACATATCAGGACTTAGCAATTCGAGAAATACGTCAGACTATGATGAATCATGCATGAAAACTAATACCATTCAATGTTCTCACATTTACGATCAATGATGGTTATTGTTAATGTGTGAGACTCTCAGTCAATCTTGTTGACAAATGCTACTATTCATACTAAAGTGCAGTTCGCAAGACAATTAAATCTAGACCTCGGTCTACTAAACGATGGAGACATCTAACGTAAAAAAGATAAAATGCCTACCGTGTGTTGATGTTGATGATGCGGTTCTATGAATAAAATAAAATCAAAGATTATAATAATGAAAGAAGATAGAAAGAAGAAACGAAATCAAAAATAACAACTGTTGAGAAAAAAAGTAACCATCGGTATGAATCAGAGGAAACACAGAAGAACAACTGATGAGAGATGAGAAGAAAGAAAAAAAAGAAAGAAATCAATAGTGAGTAATAAGAATAGTTAGCGGTAATAGAGTGACCTCTGTTTACGTCAACATGATGCAAATTTGTATAATAGAGGTTGAAAAATTACCTTCTTTCCTTTTAAAATTATCTGCTGAAGCTTATCACTTTCACTCTTCCACCTCTTGCGATCATGAAAGTCTCATGAAGCACGCACAAAATTGCATATTTGTGTGTATTATTAGTATCTGCCGCTTTTAAAACTTGAAGTTTAAAATATTTTCTGAACGAAAAAGAAAACGAGAGAATCTTCACCTATACGAGGAAAACGAGTTGTATTTCTTAAAAATTTTAATTATCGATGTTATATCCGAAAGATCTAGAGAACGAATAAAAGAAAAACCGCTTGAAAGCTTATAAAATACTACACACATCTTAGATACATCTGACTAGATCCTAGTTATACTGTATTGAGTTATGTGTCAGTTTATCGGCTGTCATTGATCGAAGCCTACTAACCAGTTTTTGTATTTTTCAATTCGAACTTATTTCATAGATGTAGTAATCCATACAAAGAATGCACGTTGTGCACAATTTTTGTTTTTTCTAGTTGAATTACAGTGAATCGTGCATCTCATAAACTCTGTAGTTGCATCAGCCTATTTACAGATACTGTATCATTGCTGTTTGATCATGATGAAGAGATATTCGTGATTTTCCTGGTATCTGAGAATCAGTACTATTATCAGAAAAAGGGTTTAGGCAAAGAGATGATATCTTACTTACAACAGTACCCACTCATACTCAAATACTTTTTTTCCTTCCTTGTTGACATGGTTAGTACTCATCAACAATTAATACTTCAACTCAACATTATTATTGCACTTCTGCGGAAGCCCATGTATTTACTCACAGCTACCAGGTTTTGACATTTGCATAGTTATTAAGTAAATGAACTTGATCGAAAGATAAGTTATCGATGGCTTCAGGTATTTTGTGAAGTAACAGTACAAAATGATGAATCAGATGTACTGTTCAATGATCGATGAAGCACCGCTGAAATAAATAATCGATGGCAACACTTCCATCAAGAATAATCAGTTATTGAAAAGAAAATATCGATTTTTTTGTATAAAGCTAATGTTCAACCTAAGAAACTAACATTAACCTATTCATTTAATCATCTACATTCAATTGTATAGAGACTTCTCTAAGTGTGATTCTATATTCTTTATTTCATCATCCTTACTTGTTCATTATGTGACCAAATATTTTTATTTTATTTTTTGGTTGAATATTTCTTACTAATATTACTTTGATAATTTGTTTAATTTTTAAGATATTTCGAAACAAACTACTTAAACCGAAACACGTGTCAATGAAACATTCATCTAAAAAATTACAAACCTCTTATTAAGACTACTCTAAGTCTGAATTTTTCGTATCAAAAAAAAAGGGTATGAATCTGCAATTCATCTACACCCACCCGCATTCACACCTAAACAAGGTAGGCATTATCAGCTGTCTTTACACTATTGATTTCTCACTTTTGCTGTGGTACCAATTATTGAAACTGAGACATAAGCTAGTAACGAGTTTCGAATAAAAGATGTTTTTGCTGTGAGCCATCTTTAAATCCTATTTTATTTTGTACAGGTTGATTGGTTGCGAGTCAAATACAATATATAGTTTCATGTCTAGGTCAATTTATCACAAAAAACTATATGCCTGCCTTAAGCCGTTGCAGTCAAAATGTTTTGGATACTTTAAGTGGTGGTTTCATATTACTTCAACAATTGAATTTCGAATACCAACACATCAAAAATAATAATAAAAACATCTTATAATACGAATGTTTTAGGGTGATCAAGTTACATTTCAAGTTCAAAAAATTCTTTTGTAATGAAACTGTTATTCGAATATTGATTCGTAATTATTCAAAAATGCAACGAAGGAAATTTGTATGTAATCCAATACCAGCAACGATTTATTACATGTTTCAGGCATGAAGAATGGTGTGTCATTGTGTTCTTTGAAACAGAAATGCTAAGTCTTCATTATTCATTGTCTAAAAATTTATTTTTAGCTATAAGGATGAACTTTAAGTATCAATGGAATTGAACGTTGTTAGAGATGTGTCAAATGACAAAGGAGATCAGTGTGAATCAAAATACAACATATCAGTTTCCATATCTTCTAATTGTTTTTCGTCTTGTCTTGAGATCTATTTATGCAACGGCTTATTTTTCATTAAGGATGTGATCGTGAGATGTACCTGTTAGGTACGAGATTTGGGTGTGAACTTCCTCTTGTTCTACCCTTACACTCACATATCAACGCTGATGCACTCATAATCAAGATGTGGAGTGTGAGTGTGAGTCTAGATATGGGTATGTCTGCATTCACATACACATTCGCTTTCACTCAGGCCTACATGCACACTAACATCCACACATCGCCCACATCCTACATAGAAAATATGAATACTGACAAAAGTCACTATTTTTTTGGTACTAGTCAGGAGTATCACAATGCTACAACTACCTGTTTTGAACGATTTTGTAAGCGGATTCAAGCTTTTTTGAGAAGAACG